GAGAACTGGCGACTTTGTAGTACAACTTTAGTACGCGGAGTATCTGGAGAGCTGGAAAATGAGAACTGGCGACTTTGTCGTACAACTTTAGTACGCGGAGTATCTGGCGAACTGGAAGATGAGAACTGGCGACTTTGTAGTACAACTTTAGTACGCGGAGTATCTGGGGAGCTGGAAGCTGAGAACTGGTGACTTTGCAGTGCAACTTTAGTACGCGGATGAGTCATCTCTCGCGGCTGAGTCATCTCTCGCAGCTGCTCTGGCGCCCCTGCAGCTGAGTCATGTCTCCCGACCACCCGGCTCTCTTAAAAGGTTGACACACACACTGAGACCCACGCACTGCCTCAACTTACTCGGAGTCACAGACAGAGACTCATACACACACAGACATTGATACACACACACAGAGACCCACACACTGCCTCAACTCACTCGACTTAACACTTCACACTGAACACTTAACTCACACTCTGACTTCCTACGTGATGAAAAATGCTTTCGGGCCACTCGTCGTCTAGTTTTAAGCTCTTAAGTCTTAAGATGCGAGCATAACACTGGCCAATCAAACACATGTGAAAGAGCTGCTTCACGTAGTGCCACAGATGTATGCGGACCTTCCGTTTGACACTGAGTTTGAGTTGACTGAACTCTCCACCAAGAGCACATGGCTTCCAGAAAATGGAATACGGAAGACGGATGAAGACAGAGACCGTGCCAGATACTTTTGGCCGCCTGAGTAGCCGCTCATTTCTGTTGGCCTAGAAACTGTTGGCTTGGGAAGCCTAGAAGTTCTCAGGCCCTTTGGTTGCACACCTCAAGCAGAAGGCGTGGAGCTTCAACCTTTTTCGAGGAAGACGTCCGTTTTCTTGGGCATCTCGTTGATCACGGATGACCAGGCATGCAGTGCCCAGGCGCTGACATCCGAAAGAAGCACTTTCGGAGCACAGTGTTTGAACGCCGCTGATGCATCTGATCTCTGACTTTGCGCTTTGCAGGTGCGCTTCCTTGCATCGACAGATGTGGAGTCGGCCTGACTATGTTTCGATTGCAGTCAGAACAGCAAACATGAAATTAAGAAGCTGAAACAGGTCGAGATCAGCGCACTTTTCTTTGCAAAGACTGGGGCGGGAAGAGCTGTTTGCGGCTCAGTGTGCAACTAAAGAAATAGTCCGAGTTCATCCGAGTTCAAAGCTGGCAGGTTTCAGTTTCAGAACAGGGGTAACCCAAGCACAGTATTATCTTTGGAAGAGCAAGAATAGCTGAATGCCCAGACTAGCTTTGATCTTCGTGGAACCATGTGGAACCTATGTCTTTGCGGGCCAACAGCCACAAGTAGGTGGCAATCCGCTCATGCTGCTCCTTCCGGTGACGCCTGAGGCTTTTCCTGCTGAAAGAGGTCTCATGTGCAGGGGAACGAGATCGGCAGCTTTGGAAGGCCAAGTAGCCGGCACAAGCAAACCGAAGGACACGGAAGAGTTTGAAGCACGTTGATCCAAGTAATGTAGACTCTTGATTCATGACCCCCCCCAATTGAATTGGAACAACCTCTTCATATGGGGGGGTTGTTAATCAGAGGCTGGAGTTGTGCGTGGAGCCGGGCTTTGTGTAGACTACATTAGCATATGGTTTGCTACCGCTCTGCTTCTTTGCCGGAAGGTATACTCCAAGAAAGCGCACCAAATGGTGGCGAGTTGCAGTGTAGAGGACAGCTGCAGATGTGCGCCTGTGCGCCGCGAAAGGCAACGTTGTTATCATGTTTATCGGAGTGCAGGAGCTTTGCGACATCGTTCGAGCACTTTGCAGGGTGCATTATCATAGATGGCACGATGCTGAGAGCAGTTCCAAGTCCGTTTTTTTTCTCAGATTTTTGTTGTGTGCCAGTCTTCAATCTAAGTTGTTTTACATTGATTCGTTTGCTTGCTCTTAGCGTTGAACAACTTCTGAGACCAGTTCCCACTTGCAGGTCTCTGCTGAACGCAGTCAAGCGTCGTATGCGTCGGGCTCCCTTGTTCATCGTATGCAGAAACCGCCTGTGTTGAGCTGCACTGTTTGCCGAGCTGCAAGGAAGCCGAGAGATTCAAAGCCTTTCACCTCGCCGCTTCACTCAACTTTTGTGTTGCTGGCGCCGCTTGTCAGAGCTGTTGGCCGGGCAAACAGTCCAAAAATGAACATGCTGGCCACTTGACCCAATCCTTCAAGGCATATGTCTTCACATTGTTTGGATTTCAAACACATTTGCGGCGACCATTGCTGGGTCTTGCGATGGGTGGCCGCTATGCCAGGAGTGACTTGCGACGCTTGAACTTCGTGGACGGACCGCTGGACCCTAAGTGGGTTCCCAACACAGTTTGAGGGGGGTTGGACCCAACGATATTGAAAGCTGCAAGAACATCACAGATGTACTCCTTTGTTTTTTTGGGCGAATAGTTTCTTTCAGGAGTCTCAAGGGTAGCTTTGCTGAATACTTTGGGCTTTGCCACACGGAGGATGCTTCAAGACGTTTTGAAGCATTGGCAGTTTGAAGAGAAGATACAGGAGGCCCAATGCGCAACCAGCATACACTGCAGCGCGATGAGTTGCATTGCATTGGGGATACATTGCTAGCATTAAAGCGTTCATGACTAACAACTATCAACTCGTTCTTGGCGGGTACCGCAACTGCAGTTGGATGCCTTCGACCTCTGTTTGCTTCTCATTGCCTTCGCGCGGTGTTCGATGAGGGAAGAGGAGCCGGTTTCGATGTGCTCGGTGCCAATGATGTTCCGCGGCTGTTTTTTCGTCGTTGGAGCATTCTCGAGGAACGTGTGAGCACCATCAGCCAAGCTTTGAGGCAGCTGCGTTTTCTCAAGACTACTGACTCATGCCATTCATGTCATCCTTGTGCTAAAAGTAAAGGTGGAGCGAAAGAAGCAAAGAACAGCCCTCACTTGCGAGCAAGTTGCCAAAGAGCAAGACAAACACTTGAGAAAGCAACAGGGTCCCAAGACCTTAGACTGAGCCTAAGTACAAAGAGCATCAAAGAGCTAGACTCACAAAAAGAAACGACACAAAGCGTGGGCACGGAGCAACTGTCGGCACTGCTCCGAAAGCGCTAGGCAGAAGTCTAGTGATCTCACAGCCTCCACGGCTGCTCGGCAGTCGAGTGGTCCGGGTTGGATCGGGTTTGGCCGAATGGGTCAGCTGAGGCAGCTGGAAGCCTCTATGCCATGGCTTTGCTGGATTATCAGGATGACACAGGCGTCGAAATGGCGAAGATGGCATGGGGGTTCTACTCAAAAGCATTTGCCATCAGATGACTCAAAGAGGCACCTGATCTGGCGGGCTGGCAAACCTTGGAAGTTGGACAACCATGAAAAGCCTATGACATCAGCTTTCTACACGAGAAGTCGGACATCTCAAAGTTGTTCTGTGCACGCACTGTGGGATTCAGGTGGATTGACGTTGTCTTTTGATGACTTAAATAACTAAGCTAGGTTTTGCATATATATATATAGTACATATACAGATATATACAGTCATAATACAGTCATATTGCAGATGAAAAAAGAAAATGTATATCTATCATTATCTATCTATATTCAGAACGCACTTGACAATGAAATCGGAGATTCGAGATCGGAGATCATCAGCAAAATCCTCTTCTCTTTCTTCTTCCTCCTCCTCCTCATCGTCATTGTCAGCGTCAGCATCATCAGCATCATAATCGGCATCATGCTGCCACGGCCCGCATGGTCACTGC